CGGAGCTGAGAGGCGGAGGGATCCCCAGCGCCAAGGGAGTCCGACGCTGGAGAAAGGTAAATGCTGAAGGCACACACACACATTCTCACGAACAGACGCATACACGCTAGCTAACAGACACACACATTTGCTGACATACATACACACTCACTTACAAAACATACACTTTCACTGACAAACACACACTCACTAACAGACAAACACACAGTAACAGACACACACAGTAACACACTCACTAGCAGACACACACCCAATAACAGACACACTCACTGACACACACTCACACAAACAAACACTAACACACACACTAACACACAAACACACACACTAACACACAAACACACACACTACCACACAAAACACACACTACCACACACACACACTAACACACACATACACTAACACACACTAACACTAACATACACTAACACACACATACACTAACACACACATACACTAACACACAAACACACACATACACACACTAACACTAACATACACTAACACACACATACACTTACACACAAACACATACACTAACACACAAACACATACACTAACACACAAACTAACACACACAAACAAACACACACTAACACACACACAAATACACACACTAACACACATATACTAACACACATATACTAACACACAAACACACATTTTTTTTTTTAAATTTAATCCCCCCAGCCTCCTTACCTTTTGGAGTGCTGGGGGGATTCCCTGGGGTCCAGTGGTGCTGCTGGGCTCCTGATCACTGGGTGGGCAAGCTGCCTGGCCGGCCGGCGCGCAAGGGAGCACTTCCCCCTCAGTGCTTCCTCTTCAGCTCCCTCGCGCGCCGCGTAGGGATGCCGGAGCCGGAAAATGACGTCATCTTCCGGCTCCGGTTTCAGTGCGGTGCGCGAGGGAGCTGAAGAGGAAGCACTGAGTGCTCCCTCGCGCGCCCGCTTTCCCGACCGGCCACCCGCCCGCCGGGGTCAGCAGGGCCAGCCTGGCTCCTGGGCCCCCCAGGGGAAGAGGCTGGCCCTGTGGCTACATACCGGGTCGCAGGGGCCGCGACCCCTGCGACCCTGGTATGTACGCCACTGCGGCTAGACCTTTTTTCGTCTTGCCATGCAGAAAGTGGTGGAACAGGCCTGGTTGGTTTTGGTGGGGCTCCCCGCTGATTTTAGGTTTAAAACAGAGGGGTTTGTGGCGGGGAGCGTGTCCTTGCCAACAGGGTTGGGGAGCAGATGGAATGTCAGGAGATGGACATGGTGGGTCTCAACCTCCCCTGCTCTGTAAGGTAAACTTTTAAGTTACCGAATAGGACGTGCCCACCGAGCAAAAAGCCGGCTGGTGGTAGAGCATTTCAGATGATGGGAATTTTTGGTTTGGACAAGGGGGGAGGCGAGACACCAGTGGGTAAATTTTTGGTGCATAGGCACCTGGTTAAGTTCGTTGGCAAGGACGGTTATTTAAGTTGGAGGCTGTAGGGCAATAAGTGTAATTTATATGTTAATTTATATGTTAATTATGGTATGTATATATATTTATCTGTTTATTTATATTTGAATTAAAGAAAAAGAATAAAGTTCGGATGAGTCCTACAGTTGTAAGTTTAATAAATGCTGTGTCCTGTTTCATCCAATATTCATTGTTTGTCATTATTGGGGGGGAGAATTGGGGTAGTCTCCTTACTCTTAGTCGCACCACATTCCCCGCTACGTACATACATGTGGCCGCCAGCACAACTGACCCAACTGTCTGCCCTGCAAGACTCCTGCCCGATCGCCCACAGGTAGCTATATTATGTGTCAGTCTATCAGTGTGTGTGTGTCTGTGTATGTGTCATGGTGGGTGTGTATGTCTGTGTCTGTCTGTCATGGTGTGTGTGTGTGTGTGTGTGTGTCATGGTGTGTCTGTCTGTCTGTCATGGTGTATGTCTGTGTCATGGTGTGTGTGTGTCTGTCTGTGTCAAGGTGTGTGTGTGTCTGCCAAGGTGTGTGTGTCTGTCAAGGTATGTGTGTATCTGTTAAGGTGTGTGTGTGTCTGTCATGGTGTGTGTCTGTCTGTCTGTGTCAAGGTGTATGTGTCTGTGTCATGGTCTGTCTGTGTCATGGTGTGTGTGTGTGTCTGTCAAGGTATGTGTGTCTGTAAAGGTGGTTTTGTGTCTGTCATGGTGCATGTGTGTATCTGTGTGTGTTTAAAAAAAGTGTTTTTACTCACCTTTTTTTTTTCCAACACCGTGCTGCGGTGCTGGCATAGATTTTTTTCTAGGGCTGCTTTGTATCCCCAGTCCGGCCCTGGTTGAGCTAGTATAAACAGGCAGCCATTTTCATATTGTTCAATTTTAACTTGCTTACCTGGATGAATTTGTCCCTCCCTCTAGGCTAGATGTCCCTGAGGATTTGGTTCCCATTTTTCACAGCGGCAGGTTAGTGAGTGAAAGGTTAGGGTTAAATAATGTATGTTATTTATAAGTGTTGTTATTGTTATTAATAAAAGCCCATATACCTAGTGTACTTGTCTTATTGGGTTAGATATAATGGAGGGGGAAAGTGGGGGTGTTACATTACAAGGTTAAACCTCTGCATATTCAAATGACTGATGGCAGCCTAATGACAAGTGGTAGCAGAATCCATAGGAAATAATGAGTTTGCCAAGAGAGGCAGTATGAAGTGACAACAGAAGGGGATCAAGAACAGAACCTTGGGGACTCCAACCGAGACAGGATGAGGGAGGAAGTGTCATTGAAAAAGTAGACACTGAATGAGCGTTGGTAGAGAAACTCACCAGAGGAAAGTGTCAGAGACAGGGGGTTCCAAGAGTTTGAAGAAGGATATGATCAAGAGTGTCAAAGGTGGCAGAGAAGTCAAGAAGAATTAGCATGGAGAAGTGGCCTTATGAGTGTGCCCCTTCATTCTATTCTCCACTTTGTTTTAGGACAGCACTTTCTAGTCATGCCCTGTGATTCAGCGAGGAGTGAATGGTATTTCTTGGTTCTCTGACTCATAATGTGACTTCAGGAAACGTACCATCATACTTTGTATGACAAGTATTGCTTGTTAACAAGCTCCTTCAACCTGCTGTGTGCTATTTTGGAAAACAGATTTTAAAACTGTGGCATGTGCTCCCTTGTAGTTCCTGGAGGAGCATGGCTGAGTTTGTCCTACCTATACTGTGACAGTCGGGTCTCGATTCCTTTTTCCACAGAAAGAATGCCGTTCCCGTTAGTAGTCCTGCCCTTTGATATAGAGAAATAGACCCTGGTTACTGAGGTCCCATTACCCTCTATGGAGCTCTCACTGATTGCTCTGGCAACGCACGCACTAGGCTCGGGTGGTTCACCTGTTAGGGTTCGGCTCCGGTGCCTGCAGAAGCGGCTGCTGTTACGGTGAGACTATCACCAGAGTGAAGAATGCAAGCATGAACCTACTGCCCTGTAACCCGCAGGGCAACGGCCTGCTGTATGCAGAGCCAGTGCAAGGATTCCTGCCACCCTAGGCAACAATCCATTTTGCCACCCCCTCATGAATGCAACTACATTCCCTAAGATTTATTCCCTAAACTCTGAACTGCAGTGAAGAGACATTTAGGAAGAGAGACAGACATTAAAGGGAAACTATAGTGCTAGGAAACCAAACTAGTTTTCCCCTCGCTCTATAGCTTCCCCCTGTCAAGCGCCTTTACCTTGTGGTGCAAAAGTGGCAAAAAAAAATAATAAACCTTCCGTCACTTACCCAGGTCCACGCTTATGTAGCTCCGCTGACTCACTATCACCTTCACTCCTCAATGGCCGCATTATGATTTCCCCTTAGGAAGTTATACAAGGCTTTCCTATGGGGTTTAGCAAGATGCTGGACATCCCCATGAATAGCCACTAGAAGTGGAGTTAACCCCTGAACAGTAATCATTGCCGTTTGTTAAAGGGACAATGTAGTCACCTGAACAACTTCAGCTTAATGAGGTTGTTCAGGTGAGAACTATAGCTCGCTGCAGTCTCTCGTAAACACTATTTTCTGAGGAATATACAGTGTTCACATTGAAAGCTAGGAACACCTACAGTTTTAGTCACTCAGAGGGACTCCTGAGTTGGAGGCATAATAGGCCTCCATCCACTCAGATCTGCTGTGCACGAGCATCCGGTGATTCAGTATCTCCTCCCTCTGTACATTGAACTTTCCTCAGAGATTCTTTGACTCAATTCATCTATATGAGGAGATGCTGATTGGCCAAGGATGTGTTTGAATCATGCTGGCTCTGCCTCTTTGTCAGTCTCAAACAATCCTATGGGGGAAGCACTGATTGGATCAGTGTATCACAGGTCAGCAGACTGCTTGTTTTTCCCCTGAGTCTAACAGCATGCAGATTTACAGCTTCTGGCTTGAATACAGTAAGATTTAATGGAGGCATGAGAGGCAAGACAAAGACAGACAAAAAAAAAAAAAAAATAAAATAAGCGCCCTCTTGTCAAATCCTTTATTTATACCTTGTGTAGAGTAATTGATGAGCTTCACAGGTTGTCCTCCATCCTAACTGTCGACTGGGGTTTAGTCCAGTTCCTAAATACACCACTGCATGATGTGACCTCATCAGGTTTAAAAAGCTACTTCCCTTGACATGCCATTGATTGACTCACTCAATTCCCTGGGCAGAGTTTACCCGCAAAAACACAACCCCTACTGCATTGTACAATAGTCATGGAGTGCCAGTTGGCAAGTCATTTGGCTGACCTCTAGGCTACTAGCCAGGATTGTTATAGTGTGGAGCTAAACATACCACTAGTGTCCATAGATTTAGGGATGCTACAGTAAGGATAAGGAAAGATACCAAGAATTGAGACTACCACCTGTGGTAAAGTAAACAGATCTACAGACATTGGAACAAGTGATTGTAATTTGTTTTTATTTTAAACCAAGGCAGAACATTGAATTGATGTAGTTTATACAACCAGAGGCATTCTGTAGGGTTTGATTTGTCTGTGCAAGACTGTATTCCATACAGAGGATCAGTCCATCTCATGGTTTGTAGTCTTCCTGGGTGACCATCAAGTTATAGTGACTGACCCCTTTCCACATTCCCTGTATCATGGTCTCATAGCCAAACAAGGTGCGGATCTTGGCACGGAACGGTACATCCATTTCTCCCTTGGTCACAGATGCGACCATACGTATTGAATGCCCTCCTGGTACCTCCACATCTGTGCTGGAGGAGAAGGTTGTCTGCAGAAGAAGTCAGATGGTTAGATACTAGCAGGAGCAATATTTCATCATGAATAGTCAAGAACATGTTACCTGTACAGAATATCCATTTATTGCACAAATTAACTGGTTGAGAGAAGGGTCAAAAAGCATGATGCAGCTTTAGGCTATTTCTATTGTTTGACCTCTTGTAAGTAGAGGTTGGGCAATAGTGTACATACTGGCCAGGAAGGCTTAAGCTCTGTTCTTGTTATGGGTGCTTGTTACAGCTGCTCCAATATAACAAAGGATATCTGTGGCTGTGTATCTGTAGATGTGCAAAGCTTAATATATGGTGCTAGTGTGCTACCATAGCATTTAATGTGGGAGTAAAAATAAAATAGGACTGTTTTGGGACGCAGCCCTTTCTCAATTTACAAATAGTCCCTTTTGTCCGAGATGAGCGTCAAGGAACCAGAGACTTGTATTAGGTATTAGCTACTTAGTTACACATAGAGCCAGGACACATACCATGCTTGTTGCTTCCCCTCCAATAACGCAAAAGCATCTTCTAAAACAAACTATACCAAATCTGAACATACATATTGATACCTTGCCACCACCATTATTTAATCCACCCTTACCTGGATTTCATTGGTCTTGGCGAAATTCCAGGTATGAGTTGTGCTCACATTGATGGAAATCTTGGTCTCCATTTCTCCTATGAATGGGACTCCAGCTTTGAAGGACATCTCTGCACCAACAGCCACTGTGAATCCATGTTCCTGGCTGAAAGTGCTGCTCTCAGTTATGGTCTTGGAGAAGCTAGAAAGACAAACCCTTCACATTAATATATTGAGAGAGAAGGAGAATAGCCTGAGACAATCCAGAAAGGATATTAAGCTAGTCACTGGATTTTTGACCACCCTTTCCTAGGAGAATTGGAAAATTATGTCATGTTTGCCTCCAACTCTTTATTGGTGGGGGGGAGAAAGGGAATGCCCTACTGGATACTATGACATACATACCCTGGGTAATGGGAGGGAGCACAATGTGTTGGAAGGAGGATATTGTGATCTTATTCTTGCAGAAACTCAGCCTGCAAGGTTGCATAGGATCCCAACTCTTGGAAACAAAGGACAAACGTTCCAACCCAACAAGAGGTCTTTGTCAAGAACTGGGATGTGACCAACAAAAAAAAAATAAAAAAAATAATCCAATGAACGTTGTGCATGGTAGGACACCAAGAATAGTCAGGTCAAACAGAACAAAGATGTAGTCTGAGACCAGACACCTGGACAGTTTTCCTGGAGGTATTCTAATATTTGCCATTACAAGTCAATTCTTTCCAGACAGTTCCATCCAGAAGTGAAGTGTGAGGAAAACCTGTGCAAAAGACATGCTCACCTAAGACAAGCATTAGCAACCAGTAGCTTCTAGCAACTACAAGTTCCCAGACTGACAGTTGTGGTTTGCTGGTAAAGCACAGAAACACCTGAGAATGCAACTTCACCCTTTGTCAGGGACTGGAACAAGACTTGTTCAATAGGAAGGGTTAATGCCCCTTCTGCCTGACTAGAAGCAGCCAGCAACGAGTAATAGGATAACAAACCAGTCGCCAACTAGAGTCTAGTAGCCATTAGTGACTGGCTTTCTGTAGCAGAAGCTGGCAACTATTTTAAGACTGGAAAAGGGACATTTTCTGAGTAGAATCAGAACTGCACTCAATCCCATAACTCTGGGCCAGGGTGCAACTAAACCAGGGGCCAGCACTAGATCCCAGATACCGTATGCAAAGACATAGGTTTAGGCACTCCATGGTCCAAAAATAAAGGGAAAGTTTAATTAAACCAGATCAGCAGCAATGTTTCAACCTTTAAAAGGTCTTCCTCAAACTAGCAAATAAGGGATACACCCCATCATTTTAGAAGCACAATCACAAAATGAGTGCAATTAAAAAGCATCACATAAGTGAAGCTCACTCATTAAGGAGGACTGGCAGCAGTGTTGAAGACTATGACCAATGTAAGAGCAGTATATCCAGAACACACAATTGTTCAACAGAACAACCTCAGAGCACATCTAATGGCAATTATATTCCCAAATCTATCCTGCAAACTTCCAATTCAGAGAAAGACCTTAAAGGTCAAACTGTTGCCGCTTGTCATCTAGTTTGATTAATCTTTCCTTTCTTGGACCACCTAAACCTTTGTTTTGCATAGAAGTCACAAGCACCAACAGGCATTATAAATAAAAAAAAGAGCACTGTCTGCCAATAAGTAGCCCTAGGATTGTAAACAAGGCATTCCTCAACCTTGGTAAAACAGACACCATGCTCTATTCAGCCAGTATAGAATCATGTAACTTATGAAGGATTTTAATGTAGAGAGACCACCAACCTTTTAGTATTCAAAGTACTATGTAATCTTGCCAATTGGTAGAAGTACCTGCAGAGCTAAAGTCCTATTCCATTAGTCAGGCCTAGAAGTGAGTGACTACTGCAAGCCTGAAGGATCCATGGAACACTGAGGGTGAATTTCTGCTTGCCACAGCTGAAGTGGTCACTCGCCATTGGCAAGTTGAAATTGGGATCCCTGAGTGGATGAGATTGAGGTTTCCATTACTTACGAGAAGGTGTGCTTTAATGGAGTGCTGCTCTTGTTGTTATAGATCTGGGTCTGCACCACCTCTGTGCCTTGGGATAGGATTTTCCCTGAATCTGGCAGGAATTCAAAGCTTACAATACTCTGGATGGTTTTATCAATGGTGAAGGAAAGGAGGGGGTAGACATTGTAACCCCAGCCCAGTTTCTCTGCCTTTTCAATATAGTTGGTATCAGCCTTGGTCGGTGCTGGTCCTTTATAGATGTTGCCATTCTTTGAATCCACGCACCACAGGTCCGACTCTAGGGTGAAAGCCATGAAATGGGTCAGAATGCGCCAGCCTCCTTTTCCAATGGTTGTGCTGGAGGCTAGCCAGTTATCGTCTGGTTTGGTTGGAGGGCTTCTCATCACAAGCTTGTCGTCACTGGTCACTGCATACAGGATGCCTTTAGGGTCAAAGAAAAGGGCATCAAATTCATGCCAGCCGCCGGTTCCTATTTTGGTGGCTTGGCCATAAAGCCAGGACACGTTTTCATTGCTTGGTGCTGGACCCTTGTAGAACTCCCCATTCTTGGTAGATGCATACAGAAGGCCATTTGGATCAAAGATGATGAATTTAAACCCTTCCCAGTCAGTTTTGCCCACTCTCTTGGCAGTAGAGAAAAAGTCCAGGTTTGGATCTGAAGGCATAGCTCCCATGAAGAGTTCTTTACCACACACAGCAAACAGCACCCCTTCTGGGTTAAAGGCAATCTTACTGACATTATTCAGCTTCCCTACAATGCTAGATCTGGCATCAAAATTATCCAGAAGATTCTTGGGTGGTAATCCAGCTCTGGCAACATAATCCTTCACAGCAAACAGGAGGGTATCTGGAAGTCAATAGGAAGAGGTTATAGCCACTATTGGTAGTCCACAACACAATATGAAACTACAACTGCAAGGGATTTAAGCCGTAAGCCAAAATATTGAAGGTTTAAGTTGGTTCAATAAAACCCCAGCAGCACAGGAAACAACCCTTCCAGAACACAGAGCTCCAAACAGGAGCCATTTATTTTGGTCTACATTACAGGGTTTTTTTTTTTTGTTTTTTTTTTTTTATCTTCAAAGATTTCAAATAAACCAAGAAGGACACATTCGTTTTAGAGATGTCAGTGTGGCCAGGAGCTGGCCTGTTGCGAGATGTTTTAGGAGACTTCCTAACAATTTATGCAATGTAGGGACATTTGGGAGGTATGCAGTATTAAGGTTGTCCCACTGTCCTGGGTTTTTAAATGTGCTACCCTACCAGCAGCATTAGGCACAATTTTAAATGTATATAGCCAAACAGGAAAGTGTGTCACCAGGTCAGCTGAGGTAAAATTTTGAGTTAGACATTTTTAATCCAGAGAGTTTATTTAAAGGAACACTAGTGTAAGAAATAGAAACATGGATTACTGATTCTAATGCTTGCCTCACTAACAAGGTGATTTTACTCGCCTTTTCTCCCATACCAGTATGTGGATGTTATCAGTTTCGATGATCTCAACCCATCCAATGATCCCCCCATAGGAAATCATTTAGGAGGTTAGTGTGTATGCATTGCACAAACACTGAATCAATTAGTATCGCCTCAGATTGAAAGCAAAGAAACCAAGGAAGAGTAACTAGATGCCAATTTTACGTAGAGAGTTCTATATATAGTTTATTTGAAGCACCAACAAGAATACAGTGTTTCCACTTTGTCAATACCAACATTAAGGCCATTTAAACTGTATGTAGCACTCCCTGTGCACATTTGGCAGCTCAGTTTTCTATACTTGGATCTGGCCCTGATTTGAAAAACAGGGTGCAAGGTTAGGTTTTAAACCCAGGTGTTTGGGTACTAGAGTAACACCTCTATCACCATGCAGAGTGTTGAGACTGAAGGTAAACACAGAAAGCCCCTCGAGGTGGTACTAGAGTGTAAAAGAGAAATACATTGTATTTACATTGCAAAGCCTGTAGGTTTCATCACCAGAACTACTGCCTTAAGTGGTAGTGATTCTGGTGACTATAATTTCCCTTTTAAGATCAGATAAGTTCTGTCAAACAGTAACAGTCAGTGAAGAACTTTTAAGACCATCACATAATTAATCAGCTATAAAGTGAGATACTCCCTACTAATGCTCTGTATATACAACCCTGCAGAATGAGCTTCCAAAACACAAGGATCACTTACCTGGTGTATCCATTATCGGAGAAAGATCAGAAAACAAGCTCCCAAACTCTCTAGACTCTCAGCAGGGAACCTTTTGGGGTCTCTGACTTGTGTGGATCAGGAAAGGGCTCCAGATATATCTGCACCATTAGTGATTAGCTTTATAGTCAGGACCCCTCCCCACACACAGCTGTACCTGGTTTAATGAGCAGGGTTACCAGACTTTGAACAATGTGATACTGAGTTAACAGGTAGGTCACTACAATATTGCATCAATATGACAATGTTTCTTCATCTGAACCAACTGTCATCCTTTGTACTGTTTGGTTTGGATAAAATTCAGACAATATTTTCCAATAAGACCTTAAAGGACCACTATAGTGCCAGGAAAACATACTCGTTTTCCTGGCACTATAGTGCCCTGAGGGTGCCCCCCCCCAGGGCCGGACTGGGGATACAAAGAAGCCCTGGAAAAAAATAAGTCACTGCGCCATATATTGTCGCGTGTAATATGTAAGGCTATGTCTTGCCAGGACAGATGATTGAGTAATATATATATATATATATATATATATATATATATATATATATATAGCTTTTTCAAATATAAAATATTGGTCCTTTCAGGGTAAAACATTTAATTATACAGTAAGCATACTCACATGCAGACACAGGCAATTTCACTGACATCTTAATGACACACACAAGCTCATTGATACACAGCCTCATAGACAAACAATCTTACTGATATACATCAGCTCATTGACATAAAAACACAAGCTCACTCACTAGCAGGCACACGCATGCAAGCAAGCTCACTCACTAGCAGACGCACACACACAGCTTAATGTGGTGGTACTGGTGTCTATAGTATGTCCCTACAGGCTTTTCAACGTAAACACTGACTTTTCAGACAAAAGGCAGTGTTTACATTGCTTCAAAGTGACACTGCTAGTGACAGTCACTCAGACGGTCACTAGAGGTGCTTCCTGTGTTAGTGTCCTCCCGCCCTCGCGCGCTGCTGAATGAGACCGGCGCCTGAATATGACGTCATATTCCGGCGCCGGTCTCATTCAGCTGCGTGCTGGGGAGCAGAGCCAGCGCAGCTCCCCCAGCGGCCGCCAGGACAAGTCCGCCAGCGGCCGCCAAAAGACCTCCCCAGCGGCCAGGGGAGGGCTGGCAGCCTTAGGCCTGGGGGGCAAAACCAGTCAAGTAGACTGGTGCACCTGCCCAGGATCAGAACCGGTGCAAGGATTTTTGCCGCCCTAGACAAAATAAAAATTTGCTGCCCCCACATGTCACATCACAATGCCTCACCCATATGATCTGCCATATGAACTAACGCCAGTGCTGCACACAGTGTGTGTTTACATTAAAAAGCCTACAGGGACCAGCTATAGACACCAGAACCACTTCAGTAAGCTATAGTGTCCCTTTAATGTGAGGTAAATTATAGATTAGTGTCACTAATAATATACTAGATTGAGTACTTACAAGCAGATGAGGATGATGATGGGCTGCAGTTTGGCTCCACTGGTCTGGAGTAGAACAGGATCTCTGGAGGCTGTTTGCAACTGTGGTCACAAAATTCAATGTTCTGGGAGAATTGGAAGCAGCTCAATTATTTGGGGGCGCCTTACACAGCTCAAGGTCTGGGCCCCAGGGCCTGACGGTGAGTATGCCCATAAGGCCCACTCATAAGTTCCACCCACCCATGAGTTCGCTCACAGGGAGTGGAGTGTGTAGGGATGTGTTATGTGTTATTGTAGAGGATCTAATATGTGTGCTTATGGTATGTAGTGTTTAGGGTTACCAGTTTGTGCAGGTGATGCAGTGTGTTTGTGTGTAGTGGAAGCAGTGTGTATTTGTGTATAAGGGATGTATTATGTGTTTCTGGTTGTGTGTAAGGGATGCATTGTGTGAATCTGTGTTTGTATGCATAAGGGATGCAAGGTGTGTGTCTGTATGTGTGTGCATGAGATGCATTGTGTTTCTGTGTGTATGTAAGAAAAGAAGTGTGTGTGTTTGCATGCGTGTGTACGGGTTTGCATTGTCTGTTTCTGTGTATGTGTGCAAAGGATGCATTGTCTTTGTGTGTAAGGGTTGCATTGTGTGTGTGTGTGTAATGGATGCATTGTGTGTTTCTCTGTGTGTAAGGGAAGCATGTTGTGTTTCTGTGTATGTATAGGGATGCATTGTGTGTGTGTGTGTGTGTAGTGTGAAAGAGCTCCCTGTCTTGGCCCCTGTCCTATAGAGCTGCCCCTTCTTCTTATTCCCCTCCCTCCCCTCTTCTTATTCCCCCCCTATCTTATTCCCCCCTCCCCTCTTCTTATTCCCCCCTCCCCTCTTCTTATCCCTCCCTCCCCTCTTCTTATTCCCCCTCCCCTCTTCTTATTCCCCTCCCTCCCCTCTTCTTATTCCCCTCCCTCCC